GTAGGGAAGAGGTGCTTTTGTTGTTGTTATGACTGATGACACTTTCATTATTAGCCACATAAATTACATCCATCTACCATGGAGTTCAGTGAGAATTACACAACTGAAAGGCAGAGATATGACATGTCTCATTGTATCTTCTCATGTTCCAGTTAAGAGTTGTCTTGTGAATCTGGTAATAATATCCCTATAACTAGTTGAAACAGTTTCATGGTATTTCTTTTGTGAGTATTGTCTTTATGACTAAATATCTGAATTTATTTTTTTTCATATTTTAGTCCTGCATGCCATGAAAGAGGATAGTGAGAAGGTGCCAAGTTTGTTAACAGACTATATTTTAAAGGGTGAGTATGTCTCTTAGCAGGGATTCTAAATTAACTTAATGTACATACATGGTGTGTTTGAAAAGAATAGTCCTACAGCATTCATGAGTTATGTTGCTCTTCTATCAAACACAGCTCTCATTTTATATTATCTTCTATTTTGTCCAAGGTTTCTGAGCATATAGTTCATAAATAAAATGCATTTATTTTGTTTGTGATAGTATAATACAGCAAAGTATATGGTTTATATTCAAATAGCTGAAGGACATCAGCAGGAGCAAAACAGTCTGGCTTACAATGTTAAATGGGTGTAGTTAAAAACTTGTGTTGTACAGGTTTTTCAGAATTGGAATTCAAGCTGTCTATGGTAATAATGGATTTGCTAGGTAAAGTGCTTATAGCTTCATTTTAGTGCCACCTTCTGACCCATAGTAAAAATTATGTATTTTACATTTACTTGCAATACCTTTTTCACGTTTTATTTGAAAGGTTTGTGTACTAATCATTTGTTTTCCAGTCTTACACATTGATTATATTAATAGAATGTCAGACATTGAAAAATCACTGCTTGCTTTAGGTTTAAGGAGTTGTTCCAGGTTATTAAATTACTTTTAAATGTTTTTCTTCTGACTGTCTTTGCCTACATCTTATTAATGCTTATGTTCTTACTTAATTCTTGACATATAAATAGTACCATCTTCTTAGTGCTTAAAGTTTAGCATCTAGCTAAACTCCCAAGATCTGAACGATGGATGTACAAAAGGATGGTGGACGCCTTTTTATTTGCCACCCAAATGTATATTATGTTCATATACTTCATGTTCATATAGTGCAAAGTTTTTTCTCTTCTTTGGTATTATGCTTTCCAAGTCTCACTATTTTTTTTCAAGTACAACCATTTCACTTAACTCCCTCTGTACAATTTTTAAAGGATTTTGTATTTCTTACACAGACTTCTGATCATTCTCTTCCAGAGATTTTAAAGTACTTTCAGGTTAAAGTTGTGGATGAAATTTGGTGTGCTTGTTGCTTCAGAAAATCTGAAAGGAGAGCCATGCAGTGTTCTAGTAGCTCTGACAGATTTCCTGTTGGAAGAGGCTCATTTCAAAGTTTCATGTAGAGTTGCAGAACTACCACATGCAATAAGAATGTAGAGATCCTTTCAGCTGATTCCTTTGATTGCTCCATTGTTTACTTACTCTTTCTGAAAATCCTTCGTATATTAGACAGATGTATTTGTTTATGAGCTGAGAGCCATTTAGGCTCAAGATCAAGGTTTTTTTTAATGATGATGGCACTAAACTTTAGTTTTGTGAAGCAGAATCTTTGATGAAAGAGGATCAACTGTTGTCAATAATTAAAGCTCTTTGCTTTTCATCTTAATACATCTGGTAGAAACTGATTGGAATGAATAGTGCTCTTTACAGTGTCTACTCTTTATTTTTAGATGTGGCTATCCAGAAAAGCTTTCAGATTACTAAGATACTGGGAAGAAATCATCTGCATAGAAGGCTTACAAAAGTAGATTAGCTGAACATATGAAAGGCTGATCTAGGAAGCTTGATACTGAGATTCCCTCCTACCTCTGCCTCTGCATGCTCATGACTTTAAAATCACCAGGGATGTTCTACTAGCTAGATGCAACAATTAGAAACATATTATGCTCACATTAAATGTGTTGGATCAAACAGGTCTTCATATGCTAGCACTGTGGTCTCTAAATTGTAAACCACAGACGATTGGAGTATGAAAAGTAATCATTCGCATCAGTCATACTGAAAGGAAAAGGTGATTTCCCCTCAGCTACCATGATTTCATTACTGAACAGAACTAAGCCTTTCTCGCTCTTCTGTGGGTCTGCTTGCACAACGGCAAGCAGTTGTAGAAGCTAGTGAGCACAGAATTTTACTTCTCTTTTCAATGTTGCCTAATTAAGCTTCATATTGCTATGTTTAGATTATGTTAAATATTTATAGCTCAGCTGACAGTGTTACGTTGTAATGTAGATTTATCCTGTGGAACAAGCAGTCTTCCAATTGTTTCTGAAGTTGTAATCTCTTTCTTTTTTTTTTTTTTCCTGCCATTAAGACTACTGTCCTGAAGCTTCAGTGAGGCTTCTCACATGGCACAAAAATACTCCCAGACACCTGTCTATTGCCTGAAAATTATTTTTAAAGCTTGTTAAAGGGATATTAGATGATTCTAAACAACCACTTGAAGCAACTTTCAGCTCAGCTTTTGTACTTGAAATTCCAACCTACTCCCTGAATTTCAAAATAAAAGGAGTGACCTAGTTTTTAAAGAGTCTGCTCTCTTCACTGGAAGGGTTAAAAATATCTTGGCAACATGAAAATGATTATGAGAATTAAGGGGTTTGAATTTGTTTTCCAAAAGATACAGGAGGATAACAAGTTCTGGACTCAGTACTATTCATCTATATGATATAGTGATAATTGTATTCATTTTATATTTGTCTACTCTGTGATCCAGCTATTGTCTTACACTGAATGGATTCCATTTCTTTTTATTAAGCTTTAATGAAGAAATGACATTTTGAAATGTGTGAATTATATCACCAAAGATACTTAGTTCTGGTAAAGTCTGTTAACTTGCCCCACGCATCAAGACATCCTCTGTTAAGAAAAAAAGGAGGGTAATTGTCATAGGCGACTCCCTTCTGAGGGGTACAGAGGGCCCAATATGTCAACCAGACCCAACTCACAGGGAAGTCTGCTGCCTCCCTGGGGCCTGGGTGAGAGATGTCACCAGGAAACTCCCTGATCTGGTTCGGCCCAGTGATTACTACCCACTGTTGGCCTTGCAGGTTGGCAGCGATGAGGTTGCACTAAGAAGCCCAAAGGCAGTCAAAAAGGACTTGAGAGCACGGGGGCGACTGGTCAATGGAGGAGGAGCATAGGTAGTGTTTTCATCAATCCCTTCAGTGACAGGGAAGAATGCTGAAAGGAACAGGAGAACACACATGATCAACACATGGCTCAGGGTCTGGTGCCGTCATCAGAATTTTGGGGTTTTTGACCACGGGGCGGTTTACACGGCACCGGGCCTCCTTGCAGCAGATGGAGTGCAACTGACTCCAAGGGGCAAAAGGATTCTTGCTCATGAGCTGGCAGGCCTCATCAAGAGGGCTTTAAACTAGATTTGAAGGGGGAAGGGGATAAAACCAGGCTCACTAGAGTTGGGGTGGCATGCCAGAAATCGATAGCCCAGCTCAAGTGCATCTA